CTTATGTAAATTGTAACTGCAGGGCAGTGATTTTCTGTGAATCCGAGTGCTGTGGCACTGCAGTACTCATTTCTGTCTGCCGCTTCTACACCAAGATTTGTAAAAACATCAAACACAAGCAGCTCCTATACTCATTTGTCATGTAACAGAGGTTTATTGCCTCTTAGAGTTTTGTTAAGAATTGTCTTTTACAGTTTGGTAAAAACCCTGTACCAAGTCTCCTCTTGCTGTAAAAAAATGAGTTTTTTTACTTTCTTAGACTTGACGGATAATTCAGTTTGAATCTTTCACAAATCTGTATCCAAATTACCAATATCCTTACAATTTTAATTATTTGGCATAATCATTTGTTGTATTAAAGAGACAGAACATGTTGGAAGAAACTGTTGATGGCTTGAGCTGGTGGTGTTGTCGGCATAAGGGGTGCTAATAGTCCTTGTGGAGCTGATGGGAAGGAGGGTCAGTCCTGGGGTTCCACACGGGGTGTAATCGGGTTGGGCAAAGAAGGAACTTGGCACACTGCCATGTGGGGCCTTCCTGTCAGTGAAAGGAAGATTAACATCTGGCTCTGCCTGTGATGGCAAGGTGCTGTGCCTGCCTAGAATTATAGCAAGAACAGAGTGAGATTGTCATGAAAAGTATTGTAATGGGATGCTCGCTACACACTCAAATGAGTGCATAATATACGGTATAGACAGTAAACTCTCCTTACACAAGGTTACAGAAAAATTAATTGTGCCAAAAAAAGGCAGTATAGAGTCTAGCTATACTTCATTTATGGTCACACTAGATGTCATGTCAGGCCTGTTTAAGCATTTCTGTAAAGCTAGTTGTGTCAAGAGGCTCACGATAGAGGTGGCATTATCTTGAATTACCTAAAAATTCAGCCCTACTGAATATTCTTTTGCATGCTTAGCTGTATACTTCAGTGCACAAATATGTGCTTGAAGTTAAAACAAACAAACACCCACAAAAATTCCCAGCAACAAAACCCAACACCGTATCTTTAGGAGAGCTTTCTACCATGTCAATGGATATAGAGACTTGTCAGTCAGTGTAACAAAAGTGTTTTGCTTTTTTTTTTTTTTTTCCCAAAAAATAAGTTTTCCTTCTGTTTAGTCTTGACTGAGTTCTTGCTGAGACATACAGTGCTGTCAAAGTTTCAGCTGCTTTTCTGACTTGATTCTCATGTGGTTTTTATCAGTGTTTCGAGCAGAGATTTGTTGTGATTTAGCTTTCTTCACAGGTAGTGTATTATTAAACATTCTGGCATTGCTGTCTGCTATTGCAGTAGAAGCACTTACACAGCCAAGCTGTGAACCGGAGAGGGACACAGTGCTCTTTTTTTGTATTATGGCAGATGGACGGTTCATGTAAAAATTCCTGCACAGCCAGGAATATGACTTGAGTCAAAATCTTACTCAACTTTTCCATCATACTGCCTATTGTAAGAAATGAATATTTGAGAAATCAGTAGAACATTCTATTTTCCATTGCAGAGATTGCTCTGAAGAAAGAAGGCTTGCCTTCTCTTGTTGCAGTGAGGGTATTTTGGGGGTTTGGGGTTTTTTTGTGTTGTAAATGCTTAATCATGACACTAAGCACTGACATTTTTGTTTGCAAGTGTTGCACTTGTCAATTTTTATTGTCTCCCAAAACGTTTAGCCATGTTACATGTGGGTCCCTGGCTTATTGTGAAATAAACTGTAACACAGGACCAAGGTTTTATTTCTTCCTGAAGTCTTCCTTCACTCTTTCTTTCTCTTCCTTGACCGACCATCCCCAAAATTTGGAAAGCAGTAATTCTCAAGTGTCTAGGGAATAAAGCTGAAACATAACTATATGTATTAGATTAGTGCTAATTATTAGTTTAAGGCAAGGAATTCCATCTATGAGTGGACCAAAATTCCTCCTTGATGTTGCTGCCATTGCTGGAAGTCACTGGTAACATAACTAGTGGGATTTAAATACCTGTGTAAAGGGTACTGAAGAATGATCATGCAGGTGACAGGATCAATGCAGCATGGAATCCAGCACACCAGTGAGACAGCATTTCATTTTAATTGTTGCAGGTAATGTTGAATAGTTGCTTCCGTGTCTGTTGTGAGAGTGTTTATATTGATACAGGTATGTATCTCCCTATGTATTACATATAGGTAGATCTGCCAGTCTGTTTTGTGCCACATTGGCATGCCTTTTATTGGAAAGCTTGTGTTCATCATGGAAATGATGGCCAGGTACATGATATCTTGCATTCACCAGAGTCAGAAACTCTTAATTTTTATAGTGGAGAAGTGTTTTGATTCCTGCAAGTGAACTCCAGCTAATGATGGCACCAACATGTCGGTTCAGAAATAGCAGTTTTCCAGATTTGACTGTTTCTTATCAATGTAGTTAGGATATAGAGGGGTTTTGGTACTGTGATGCCCTGCAAAAAAGGAAAGAAAATCTAACAAAAAAACCCAACTAGGTAAATTGCAGTACAGAATTTGGTTTTGACAGCTTTCCTTGTGTTATAGTTTTAGCGTCAAAGACCGAGAGACTCAAAAGGTTTGGTGTAGCCAGATGTTCTGGAACAATTGAATTGAGTTGCATGTTAGACGGGGTAGCTGTACTTTGCTGGAGGAAATGTGGAGGATAGCTTTCCACTGTTACTTGGGTACATCTTGTTTCCTGACAAGAAACCCAGCCTTATGTGAAGTTATTTTGGCAGAGCTTCTTGACAGGTTATGGCTTGTTCACTGCGATTAGCTTAGGATAATTAATACTAATAGGCTCACAAAGAGCAGCTTACTCAGTTTGGGGCTGTTGGAAGTCGCAGAGGGTTTTTTTGTTGTTTGTTTTTTTCTCCCTTTTTCATGTGGCAAAGCAGCATAAATAGGGTAGTTAAGTTTAGTGGTCAGCCTTCTGCAGTGCATTTACAAGCTATACTAAAGTAAAGATTAAATGTAATCTCTGTGTGTGTTGCTGGATGGGGGGCGGGTTAGTGGAGCTTTGGGGCTGTGAATAGAAACACCTTTTCCAGCCTTGTTACTGCTGGCCTCCATAGGGACTGCTCACACTGCAGTCTGCCTCAGAGTTGGTCACTGTGCCTTAGACATGCCCTGTCGTTTTCCCCACTACTGTTCCCTCTGTGGGCATGAGGACCCCCCCGCCCCAGGACTGCCTACATGTAGCAGCCCTGCTGCAGCCCAACAGCCCCCTTCCCTGCTGGAGTAGAGAGGCTGTAGGTGGGCTGGCACCATTGCCTCCATGGGGGGAGTGAAGGAAGAGAGCTGCAGCAGGCGTGGATCAGCTCTTCAGGCTGCTGCAAAATGGGGTCCAAGGCCAGTACTGAAGATCTTATGGTAGTACTGGCCCAAAGCAGCGCTACGCCTAGGGCCATGTCTGCTTAGAAGTGCACCACTGTGCTGCTGGTATGCCCATCAGTGATAAGCAAGTGGGCAGGGATTTTTTTTATTTTTTAACCCGGTTAAGTTAGGCATCATCTTTTGGAAATTAAAATACAGATGTATTCTGAAATAGCTCAATGAAAAAGATTTCCCTGAATTTCTTGCTTTTATGCTAATTGCCGCAGAAGGTGTTTGTCTTGTCTGAAATGTCAAACCTTTTTTCTGTTCCATTGGAACTAATTGATGAAGGTCTTGGTCACTTGATGGGAAGTGTACTTTTTAGACAGCTTGATGAAAGTGTATTTGATAATTGATTAACTTGTAGGGATCAAAGTGGGAGCTGACCAAAGGTTTTGTAAGGGAGTTTTGTTTGTTTGTTTTTGTGATACCCAAAACACACTGGATATTAATCAGAAGATCGTTGCTCTGTTTTGGATACAGTTAAAGCAATTGTAAGTCTATAGGTAAAGCAGATTGCTGGTGTACCAAATACAGATGCAACTTCCATAATGTCTTTTATTGGTTGGGATTTCTACTGTTTGTTTTGATGTGCTCTTTTCAGCTTCTAAGTAGTGTTAGAAATAGCTTAGAAGTCTATCTGTCTTGTTCGTTATTGAGTACGCTTATTCTTGTGTTCATATGCTTTGTTACTAACTTCTAATCACTAAGTTGTATCTTACATCTCAGTGGTTCCCAAATGTGTCTTAAATAGCTGATCACTTTCAGATTATTGCAGATTGGTAAGTAACTTTCTCAACATGTGAAATTGAAAAGTAAACCAGACCAAAATCCAGTAACATTCAGCTGGTTGCTACAGAGAATTTACGGTAAACATAATTTGGGAATCACTTCATTATTTTAATATATGTACACTGAATTCTTTCAGGAGAGTAATACAGGTATTTGCATTTCTAGCAGTCATGGATTACTGGGGGCTGTAGTACATTAAAAAATATTTCAGGGCAAAATGCAAGTGTAGTTTCTGGGACAGAAGCCAAGGGTTGGGCTTCCTTTTGTCATCTTCCAATGGACAGTACTCATCACTGTGGTACAGTCATTTTTGCTTTTCTATAGAAGGGTGACAAATACTGCACTTAATTCCCTCGTGTAATCGAGTGTCAGTAGGAGAATGTTGCATAATGGTTTTGATGTGCTTTCCTTGACCTGAGTTATATCTCTTCGGTTTCCTGAGAGCAGTCGTATAGCTAGAATATTTTATAAGAATGGAATGTGCATCACCGTTCAGTTATGTTTTTGAATTAGAAAGGTTTTAAAGATGGCTTTCTGCGCAAGCATCTGCATTCCTCGGTACTTGTATAACACTCATTCTTTTTGACAATGTCGTGCGTGTGTCCTTAAGTCTGAAGTGGTCGCATGCTGCAGCTGATCTGCGTCCCTATCATCTCTAAAGATTTTAACTTTGGCCTATCTGTTACCTTGTCTTTTCAGTAAACAACTGATCTGTGTATCCAGAGTACATGTCTGTGCATGCACAATGAAAAATGGGGGGAAAAAAAGAACAGGAGAAAAAATAAAAACACTTAATCATAGTAAGTTTTCAAGCTGTTATCCTGGTGTTCTCACTTAGCAATTTGTTGCAGGTGAGAGATGGCGAGATACAGCGTCATAATAGGCTGTTTCCTTGAGGCTGCTTTCTCAGATTTTGAGGAGCTCTTCCTTAAGCAGCTGTCAGGTTGAAGCTAGTAAGGTCTGTGTAGTTGGTGAATTTCAGGAATGTTGCCAGGTCCCCAAGGTAGATTGGCAAAGCAGGTGGATGTGTTAGGCAAAGACTTTTGATAAGTCTGAATAGAAGGCTTGGTTTGTTTTCCAAAATATGCATCAGAAAGCATTTTCATCTTGAGAAATCTCTTGTAACAGGACATATGTGTGAATGAATGCTCTGTGTGGAGTTCTCTCAAATATCAACTATGTTATTAAAGCACCAATTGCTTCCTACCTCTTCTGGATCCAGTGTAATAATTTTATCTTTTCACTCAGTTCTTTTGTCTTCCCTATGACCCCTTCCTTTCCAGATAGAAAAATATAATTCCTTTAAACAAGAGAAACTATTTTTTTTCTAGTCGACTGCTTAGTCATCTTTGCCAGCTTTCCTATGTAGCCCAAAGTGTGGGTTTTATTGCTTCTCTCTTAAAAATAGTGATGCCAAAATGCCTTGTAAATTTTAAGAGCCAGGAAGTATGAAGAAAATGTTTTTGCACATGTTATTCTGCACTGTGCGACACATATGTATGCTAGAGGCATACTGATTTATAATTAAAATTAGGAGTGGCAAGGGATTGCGGAGGGGAACTGAAACTAAATGTTGTATTGCTTATGTCCCCTTTTGGTTTTCAAAATAGATAATGGGATTAGCTGAAACAAAAATAGTGATTTTATCTTTTTCTCTACAGGCTTGATCTTACTATTCTATCTGGTGTTTTATGGCTTCCTAGCAGCACTCTTCACATTCACAATGTGGGTTATGCTTCAGACACTGAGCAGTGATATACCAAAATATCGCGACCGGATTTCTAGTCCAGGTAACAGTGTATTTATTTTTTCATAAACCTCTGTCTGGTTGAACAGCTAAGTTTCATTCAAGAGTTTGTTTGAAGTGTGAACTGCCTATGGGAAACTATGATTATTATTCAGTTGCTTGCAGGTTTCAAAGGTTAAACTTGATGTGAGACAAGCATAAATTCATAGCATAAATTCAGTCAGTAGCTCTTTGTGTGTATGTGCTAACTTTTGCTGTTTTTTCTCTAAGTCCTTTTCAGTTGAATTTGTCGTGTATGTAGACCACAATTTTACCTGCCCATCCACACAGCATGCTTTTGTAGAAGTGAGATTATAATTTAATCAAGTTGCTTTAAAGATACTACAAACCAGTTCTCTTGGATCAGATGGAAGGCCACCTGAGATTATTATCTGATGCTATGAAGAAAGTACAGGATGCTGTACTTGAGTGTACTGTGGGGGTGATCTGCTCAAGAGTGTTTAGGGACTGTGATACAAAGGCATTTCCAGAGTTTTCATTACAGTATTAGACAGCTTTCATCTGACATGGAATGCACGTGGGTTTCACGGGTTGTTGACCTATTCTGTAGGGATCCACTGAAGAGAGAGGGTCCTGTTTTATGGTGAAACTAGCTCCATGTAACATGCAGCTGCCACTAGAAGTAGTGTCTTCCTTCTGGGAATTACTCCTTCCTTGTGTACGTTCCCATCCAGTCCTACTGTTGGCTGGTTCAAGGAGCTGTATGTGGCAGAAAAAAACCCTGCACAAACAAAAATGAGTAATAAGGTGGTTGTCTTTATTATTTTTTTTATTTTTTTTTAAGATTGGCTTAAATACATCACAAAAATCTGTCATTATAGGCTCTATTTTGGCGTATCTCCATATTGGAAAAAATTTTCACTGTGAAATATTTAGAAGATGCTTCTGCATACTTTAAGTACACCAAAGAGTGTTTTGTAGTTACTGTTTCTGGAGAATGTGTATTTGATTTGTACATGGAACCTAAATGATTGGGTCACCTGAAAATTTGACAAGATATATCAAATTTTATAGTAACTTGGCTTAGGGACCAAATTCGTGTTTAAAACACAACAAAACTAAATGGCTGCACAATATTAATATTTTAGTGGAAGTTAGACAACATTATTTTTTAAAATAATTTTGCCTTTTTTTGAACTCCAGACTCTTAAAATTAGCCAGTATCTTGCAGCTGCATCAACACGTAAGATGATACAGTAATTTTTGTGTGAGCAAGTTGCAGCTGGGCCAAAGTGATAAATGTATCTGGATTCTGAACAGAATTTGTTCTGATGTAGTGTTTGGGCCTTCTCTAACAAGTGTCCACTTCTTCTAAGGGGTTCTTCAGGATTTATGCTGTTTTTTCAAGCTAAGAATGGGCTAAATGCTGGAAAGAATAATAGTAATAATACAAAACAAAACACCTGCTCAGTTAAAAAAAAGGAGAAAAGAAAAAAGGAATGTGGCTTAGTTGACCATTTCTCTCCATCTCCCTTGTGGTAGTCAGAACCTTGGTAGTGGATGGAGCTGTGGGTAGCTGTGGCTTAATACTGGACTTGAGTGACATTTTTTTCTCTCATGCTTCTCACAGTTCAGGGTATTTATGTTCCTTTGCTTTGGGTATTTATTTTCCTTTGCTTTGAAATAAATCCTAAGGGATGTTTGTTTAAAAAAAGTATGTATGCCACAATTAGTTTTTAATTTAAGAATTTCTATAACATTTGATTTTTTTAATTAATTATGCCTTTAATTACTCATACATAAAAGTTAATAAAATTGCTTATTTCTGTTTTAGTGTTTCTCTTTAACGCTGTCATTTTTCACTTGCAGTGAAACATGTCATGTTCCTGGCTGTAAAACTTTAAATTATAAAAAAATTCTACACACAAAACCTGGATGGCGTAGGTCAAAGGTTTTACTCTTATGTTAAATATACGTGGAAATCTCACAGTAGATCTATTTTATAATTGATATTTGACTTGCATTGTACACTGGGAGATAATACTATCAATCAAATCCAGATGATTTTTCTTAAATCCCTCTTGGAATTGTAGGGTAATGTAATCTCTGTTACAATCCTAGATGTGATCCTGTGTTGAGGCTGCTAATTCTCTTCCTCTAGAAGAGCCTGAATCCCGCATCTCTCACAGTCTATGCATCAGTCCTTCAAATACTTTTTTTCTGTAGAATTTGTACCATAGTGTCTTAGGCAGACCGTGATCCACTGGAACTTGAGCAGTCCTTTCCTCTATGATGTTTTTGAAGTTCTCCTGAAACAATGAATATCTTCAAGTTATTGTTTCATTCATTGATTACTAGTTTAGTTACTTTGCCATACTCTGAAAAACAGAACCTAAGTCCTCCATTTACAGTATAATTCTATAGATACTAACAATCTCTTCTTCCCCAGAGCCCCTTAGTGTGTTAAACCCCTTCAGCGATTTTTCAGCTGTGTTACTAATTATCTTGTATTTTGTTGAATCCCGGTTCAGTGTGGAGGCCAGAAGATGACTGTAATGGTGTAAAGTAATTTGCAGTCAAAAATGGTATTTGTAGTTGTATGGACTACAAATTGACAGTTGTAGGACTGTCAGTCATTAAGGCTTTTAGTTGTGGTTTGCCCGGAAATAATTTAACTGTTGCTAATGCAGAAAGGAGAATTTATGATTTATTGGAAATCCTACAAAAAAGGTGGAGTAAAAAAGGTTTAAATTGTATCTGGGTTTTTTTAGAATCTGAAAGATGTTTGCCTATGATAAATTTCTAGTATATATCTTTATTATTTCCCAATTTAAAGTATTTGTAATAATTTCTGCCTTCTGATGAGAAGCTTGGTCATTTCTATAAGTGAATCCTTAATAGACCTGCACTGCTTAATTGCACTTTTTCTATGCTTTCCAAAAGCTTACTGTGATTGATTAACTACAGTAACGTATTAAGGAGCCCATGTTAAGACAACTTACCTAGCTTTATCTTCCCATTGTCATCTTGTCTTCAGCTATACTTGAAGAGAAAGATGGGTGGGCACTCACCTGTTAATCACAACTGCAGGGTTTTTGTCTGTTCTGATTATTTATATTAAATTAAAGTTTTTGAGCAGATTTAATCTCTTCTGGTGGTGTAGTGCTATTTCATCTGCTACTGAAGCAGTGATTAATAATAGTGGAATTAGGTATCTGTGTTTGTGACAGCTCCTGATGGTCCAGAGCTGTATGTGTTAGCAGAGAGTGTGTCTTTTGCTTTCACCTACTACAAAAAAAATCTCTTAAGATTTAACTCTGTACCTTTCTTTACCCGTATCCTGGGGAGAAGGACAGTTCACCTCTATGAGGGGCCCAAAATGCTTGTCAGTGTCTGCCTTTTTCTTCCTTTATGGACTTCAGCATTCAGTAATCTCCATCCTTGTTTCTCCTGCCCGTCCTGGCTCCCTGGCTGTAGATTGCTCCTTTTCCAGCTGAACGAAGCCAGCCGTGGGACCCTGCTGCTGCAGTGTCCAGTGCTAGCACCCTGGGAGATAGCTCATGAGCATTCATCATTACCACAGCCTGACTGAGGCGTACTCATTTCAAGTGACAGGCATGCAGTGGCATAAGGAAGTTTCTTGTATTCTCAATGAAACAGATGACATCTAAATTTTCTGTTTGATGAGAAGGAGGAAAGGACTAGCAACTAACTTGGCTTGTCTGTTTTGACTGGGAAATCTTTCAAGCCGTCTTCATGCATTATAAAGTTTTTAAAAGTACTTTGTTTCTTGTGGGTTTCAGTGATACAATCATAGCTTCGCTCTATATTGCCTAAAGCTCTGAAGCACTGCTTTAACCAGAGGCTTTCTGGGTGTGGTTTTGGGTATTTTTTCAATTATTTTTAAGTTTAATTTGCTGAATATGGAAAGTGGGAAGTGAATCAGTAAAATTCTTTGATTGCAAGCGATTAAGTTGCTGATTTTGCTATTTCTAATCAGTTGGGTTTGATTTGTGAATTGCAGTGATACATTGTGTTGAATTTAAGTATTAATTCATGTAATGTTGATTTTGGTAACTGACTTCAAACACAAGCTACCTTCCTGTACTGTGGAACATAGGGGTAACATTGATGTTTCTTTACAGATAGGTATTTTCAAATTTATGGATACGTTTTTTGACTAGGTTAGAGTGGCGTAGGGAAAATAAGTTGTTTAGTTCTTTACTTGCACTTTTTCTTTTTAAGGACTTATGATTTCACCAAAGCCAGACACCGCACTGGAATTTTACTTTAACAAGAGTGATGCCCAGTCATATGCAGAATATGTTTCTACACTTAGAAAATTTCTTGAATGTAAGTAAGTTACAACTGCCCAAGTAATTCAGGAGTCGTAATGTTGAGTACATTAGTTTCCTTTTTTGCTTGTAGTTACCAATTGCTAATGAAAACTGATGCAAGTTCAGGCTTATTCTAGACATGTATGTTATTAAAGTATATACTTTCCAGAAAAAGGAATCTAGAAATATAGAAATCATTGAAAGTACTAGCAATTTTAACTCCTCAAAAGTTGTAAGTCAGAATTGAGGAGGTAATGTACAATCTCACTTGTGTGCCTGAGTATTTTTGTTAGCTGCACAAGCTATACTTGAATCTATCTGGATTTGTAATTTTGGTGAGTAGGCTTTTATGAGCAGGCTTTTCTTTGAAAGCTCTGGCAAGGGTCCCTGGGAGGAAAGCTACATTTCATGGTTCCCTGCCTCTCCTACAGTTCAGTGGGTTTTGGACTTTTGCATTGAGGATGAACTTTCATTACCCTTTTTACATTTTACTTTGTTTATGCTTAGCTGGGGGTGGGGTGTAAGGGAGAGGAAGAAAACCACAAAACATGTTAGATGTGAAGAGTTGAATGTGACAATGTGATCTGTTTACTTGTGAAACAAAAGAAAGTGAGAAACAACTTGGGATGCTGGCATAACATCAGTTATACTGCCTCATGTCTCTAAATGTAGAGACAATTTAATAGTCATTGAAACACTCAAGAGTTTTCCTGTGTGTTTATAAAAGAAACATGTACAAAGGGAAAACTGGTTTAGTTTCCAGGTAAAAACTTGATTGTTTATATTTTAATGCATTACTAATTTAGAATACATAATTAGTTTATGTACAGAAATTAATGAAGCTGTGATTATTGATATGATTCAAAAAGCAGGACAGCATTTTTTATTTTGTAATACTCTTTATATTCTTTCATTGAAGTACACTGCCACTTCTTGATAGGCTTTGAAAAAGTAAGTGGTTCTTAAGATGGGTATAAGAGACGTAGTGCTCTGAACATAGTCCTTTGAGTAAACTCCCAGACAAGGAACAAGTACAAATTAGATGTTTATATAGGCTTCTGCAGTTTTTGGCTACTTGTATTCTTTATACTATTGATTTACAAGCTATTTGTGTTTCATAGCATATGATGATTCAAAGCAATCCCAAAACATAAACTGTACACCCGGAAGGATTTTTGATCAGAATGATGTTGCTGTTAAAAAGGCTTGTCGATTTAACCTCTCTGAGCTTGGACTATGCTCTGGAAAAGAAGATAAGACCTTTGGCTATTCTAAAGGAACTCCCTGTGTGCTTGTGAAAATGAACAGAGTAAGTGCCTACTGATTTTTTTCATTATTAGTATAAGTGCTCCCACTACCACTGTGTGAAAAATTACTGTAGAAGAGGACTGAAATACGTGTTCAGTTTGTTTCTCAAGATATTTGCATTTCTGGAATAGTGTAATTTACTGAAATGTCTAGCAATTCATGTGTTTCAGAGTAAAATGAAGTGAGCTTTTTGAGCATTCTTATAAGTATTGTCTTTGGTTACTTGCATCAAAATATGTGAAAACCCTGTTTTAAGGAGTGCAGTCCTCTTTTTGCTTACTGTTCTATGTAACAGATTCTAAAACACTGCAGGTAGAGTGTGTTTTACTTCGTGGCTGCGTTCTAGAAATAAAATTAGAATGCAATGCGTTCTGTAACTCTTGAACTGTGTAAAGAGATGAAAACTTTACTGAGTGAATAAGTATTTGACTTTTCAGTAATGTTACACATTACTTGAACTGCTGACTGGTTTGAGGCATTAATGTAACATGCTGGATGTAAAATAAGAAAATAGTCCTTTCTGTGGCCACTGTAACTATTTGAGCTTTAACTTAAAAATGCTTTAAATCTTAGTCCTGGTCTAAAATTTTGCTTTCTATCAAATTACACTAGGTAGATTTGCTCCCTGTATGAACTCTGTCATATTAAGTAGGGGAAAAGTTCAAATTGAGCCTGTAAAATGGGAAAGGGGAAGAAAGACTATAAATATTTTAACTTTCTCTCATTTAGATAATTGGATTAAAGCCTGAAGGAGAACCACGTATACACTGTACGTCTAAGGTCAGTTCTGAATGTAAGAAATAAGCCTGTAGTTAATTTTCCTTGTGATTAGGATGAAAAGTGAAGTAATATACTGTTTCCCTCTCTTCCTTTCTTCTTAGACTTTGTACTTTTTTTCTTATTTTCATCTACTGTATGTCTAGTGTAGTTTTAGTGTATTTAATTTATTCAGTGTACTTAAAAATACTTTTTTTTGTTGTTGTTCTTTCATCTTTAGATGTATTTGAGCTACCTGACTTTCTTTAGAGTCAAGGAAAATGCATACATGTAATTGGTGGTCATGTTTGTTTATTTATTTATTTATTTATTTGTTGTGAGTTGTGTTTTTTTTCCCCATTTCATAACCTATATTTTTATTTTTTCTCCATGCTGCAAGTGCACCTTAGACAATTTTATAAATGATGGGTAAGACACAGTGTGGAAACTAATGTTATTGTGCAAGTAAAAGTTGCCTTCAAATAAAATATAAACTACTTAGAATAACAGCTAATCTATGCATATTTGTTGTGTACCAATGGATTTACACAGAATGTTTTATGGCAACTATAATGATTACTTTGACTTCTGCATATTTTTCCTAGACTGCTTGGGGAGCTGTGAAAGCCTTGGTAGAGTAGTAGCTTAAGGAAGAGATGGAGTCATGGCTTTTAGATTGAGGTCACTGATAGAAATGTAAGCTGGGAAATTTCAGTAATTTATAAGAGAAATGCTGTAAGAGTTCCTGCCTTCATCCTAGGTACCTGTGGTATACAAAAATTTTAATACTTAATTTTTGTGGAGTCTTTGAAAGTTTTGATTGCCTCATGACAGTCTGTTGCAAGTAAAGGTGATTCCTTCTCTTATTTGAGCCTGATTTCTTTCTGTCTGTGCTTAAAAAATGTTGTTCTGTTGGAGGAATTGTTTATTTAAAATAAAGCAATTAAGTTCCTTCTACTTTTACTAGTACTCCTTTTTCTTTGACTTCTCCAGTTTATAATTTTTCATAATGTGGTATCCCAAATTGGACAGAAGTTTGCCTTTAGCTGAGGTATTGTTAATGACAGAATTTTTGCCTCTGTCATCACATTGGAAGAGAGTTCTCTGAAGGTGAATTTGCCATTTCTAATACATTGAGTGTTTTAATCATTTTACTACCTGTATCTTTCTTTTGGTTATTTCCTCATCTGTGTTTGTATATGTGATTTCTTGAAGTTCAGAGTTGCTTTTTTTTGCCCCTCTCCCCCAGTTTTTCATAATAGTTTTAATGGGATCGCTTTCTCTGAAGTGTTCACTACTTAAGGCTTGATGCCGTCAATGAATGAACTTCCTTTCACATATCATGAGTCCTTACTGAAAGCACTGAATAGGGTCCAGGACCATTTCCACCTGAAATGCCTTGTAAGGTGTTGAGAACTAATGTTCAAGTGATTTATAAAATCCTATTTTATGGTGATCTTATTTCTTCAGCTTTCATACATCGATGCTCTGTGAGACAGTGGTAAAAGTTATACTAAGCAAATCACAGATTATGCTTTTTCTTATCCTCTTAGCTGATTTCACTAAAGTTTGATAACAACTTGTTGATCATGGTGGGGTTTTTTGCCATTTTTTTACCCTTTGAGATACTTAAATTGTATTGGATGTTATGGTATCTATTGCATCCTCTTTCTTTAAGTACAAAGTACTGCTTTTTACCATATGCAGCTAGAATTTCTCTGATCTACACAAATGTGGTGTTTTAAAATTTTAAGATTATTAATCTTATTCGTTCTTCGGTGACTTCCAGAGAAAATATTTGTCAGGCTTTGCCACTTTGAATGCATCTATTTTATCTTAAATTAGCCTATTCTTGCCCTAGCTCATCATTATTTACCTGCTTAGGAAAGCTTAAGTATTGGTTACAATTCGTTCTACTCTGTGGACAACAAAGCAGCATCAACTTTTTCATTTTCTCCTTTTGTCTATGCTTCATTTTTACAGAACTACAACTTTTTTCGGTTATATATAAGCCTCTTGCTTATTGAAACTCTTTCTTTAAACTTAAAGGATTACACTGTTCTTTACATCAGTTTATGTGGCCTTGTTTTCAGTTCCGCTTTTATTTCTTTGACTCTTTAGGATATGAGTGCTGTGTAGTGGTCTCTTCCTCTTCTGTAGTGCGTAAGGTGAATGCTTACCTGGAAATAATATCTTGTGGCTCTTCTGGATCTTGTTGATGCAAGGATGTGACCCTCATGTGAGCACACTGAAAAGGTGCAGAAGGCTAGCCAATAGGGTTTTATGTGTTTTACAGATGAATTTAATAGTGCGTTGTGCATGCCACTGTATTTGAATGTTCCTTAAATACTCTCTCATAACAGAAGTTGAAGTGTAGTAGTCATTTGTACTTCTCTATTGCTTCTCTTATTCAAGGTGTTTACCTAGTCTTTAAGTAACTGATGTGTACTGCGAAATGCAATCCAGATGACATGCATTTCTGAAAATAAACCCCATGCTGGAGGTTTGCTTCACAGAATATGTAGGCATATTTGTGCTGTTCATAGCACAAATACAACTTACGAGTAGTTTTAAATTCTACATCAGAAATCTTTAACATCTGAGTGACGAAGATGGATTTTGCTTAAAAGGTGATTTAATTGAACAGAATGGAAATCCTACTATCCCGTTCTCATTATAGAGGAGACTGTTTAACCTGTAGATGTGCTGTTCACCAATTTTTCTTTCCCCTTCATCTGTGTTTTTAAATATTTCTTGTTCTTCATAGTTAGAGTTTTACATATATTGAGAGCAATTTGAACAAGTGTCTGCCTGGACTTAATACAATCAGACTTTTACATGGAAAAATTTAAGAGGACAAGTCTCTCAAATAAAAAATAAGGTTAACGGCTTCTGTCTGCACATCCTGCCAGTCGTTGCCACCTGAAACGCGGTTTAAGTTTTTCACTTCGAAATTTATGTTCTTCAGGCATTCGCCTGTGAGGTGATTCTTCTTTCTTCTCCCTGTACTTTTCCTGTGGGATTTTTTTAAAATAGAAAATTGTAGGTAGATCTGTGATTTCAAAGTCAACACACTTGGTAGTTAGGAATGCTCTCCCCCTTGCCCCCACATAGTCATCAGTGTAATTTCTGTAGATTAGGGAAGTGAGTGTTTGCAGTGTCAGATACTTCTCACAGGTGGTTCTTCTTCCTGTACCTTGGAGGAACTGACCTGCTATAGCTTGAGGATCTGCACAAAAAGAAACAAGCTGAAAAAGGATTGTGTTTCCAGGAAGTTTGAAGATCAGTGTTTTAGGTCTTTAGTTTGGGGCTGGAGGTGCACAATTCCATGTGTGCTGGAACATCTTGCTGCAATATTCTTTCAAGTTAAACTACCTTTACTGAAAGCTGAGTTTTGATGCATGATACATTTTTTTAGCTACAGAAAAGAAAAATAGCCTTAATTCCAAACTATGTATATTTCTGCTGTTTAGTGACCATCTTGACTTTGTATTAGGTATCACTTTCTAGTTGACAAAAATGAAGAATGGCTGTATGAATGACACTACATGTCTTGCTGTTGTCAATACACTCAGCATTTGAGTTACCTTTCTTTTTGTGACAGTAATCATAGATATTTTACAGTTTCTACTAGTAGGTACTGCTCTTTAACTTCTGCAATGATACCATTTCTTCTCAAATGATTATGGACAAGTCTTGCCCAAGTTCCTTCCTTGGGTCTTTGTACGTTATTTTAACATCTGCAGATTTGTTCTTTCTAAGACATGGTCTTAATAGAGACCCAGTAAGTGAGGTGCAAGTCTATCTGTCCAGATTTTAGATTTGCTGACTGCCTGCAACTCTTTGTGGGAGTTGTAAATGGCAAGCAGAAAAAGTGACACTCACTAAAGAGCTGATTCTTGAAGCTCTTCAGCAAATGCAGCTTGTTTAGGTGTAGTGGGTTTTTCTAATTGTGTAGAGATATTAATTAGGATTAATTAATTATTAAAGAAAACACCGAACCCCACAGCAGTTGCATGAGACAGGCAGTTGCATGTCCCAGAACCTCTCTGCTATTGCATCGGTAGCCTAATGTGTATGTATTTATGACTGCATGCATGTCTTGTGTTTAGCTACTCTAGAAAGCTCTTCTCCTGTTTATCTTTCTCATGTTATTCAGTATTCTGAAGTTTTCAGCCATTATTTCAGAAATACATTTGAAAAATGAGTATTTTCAGCTGCATGAGCTTTGAATAAAATAAAGAATAACAGTGAAAAACAACACATTTCTACTTAGTAATTAAATTTGCTAGCTCAAGCTCCAAAATACTTAATAAACATATTGAAGAATTGCAATTATTTAGAGTGCAGAAGAGCAAGAATGTGGGCATATCCTAGACAACATATGTTCTTGTGAGGGGGTGAGGAGAAGGTATTCTTGAGCTGTAGTTGATTTTTTACTATTTTATGATCTTTTTGTTCCTCTTTTGCTGAGTTCTATTACTGCAGTTGTCTTCTGAACTTTGTTGTGTAACTTTTAAAAATTGCAGCTGTTGCATGTGATAGCATAGAAAAAATAATGAAAGTTTGAACTTGTGAATTACACTGAACAAGCAGTGATGTTCTGAAGACACATTTAGCGTTCGAGGGGGGTTATTTTAGTGGTATTTTAGTCCCTTTATCATGGTAATATGTTTACCTTATTATAGAAAGTCACATTAGATGTGGGCATTTCCTACTGGTTTGAACTTGCAGTAGTTTGACAACCTGCCAGGATACACAGTCCTGAGGTATATTGTATATAGGGAGATGTGTCTTTGTGTTGTTATACTGATAGTATGTGTCTGGGACAGCTCAATCGTATATACATCTTTTGAATATCTTACAGATTGGATGACTTAGTCAGAAATTAGGCAGCAGCTTTGTAGGTAGTTGCTTTGTATTACATGATTCGGGATTATAGGGCAAAATCTAGTGATAAGGCGTGCATATGTATGTTGTTCATCTGAGGCGGTGATGACACACACAGACTATAGTAACAGCACCATTTTAAACTTGGGATTCTGTTTACGTAGCCTGTATTCCAAGCCTAGTTGAACAAATATTAGGAATAGTACACCATTGCAGGGAAGGGACTATAGTTCTTTGTGAAGGGTTGTATTATTCCAGACTTGAGAGGCTTAAAGACATGGCTTTAAACAGAAATTCACCTTTAACATAGATATGGATGTGCTGTTGATTCACCAAAATATACAGGCTTGCTTGTGGATACTTGGGATTTTAGCTTACATATGTTTGCTTTTTGGTGGTTGTTGTTAAGTTATTCATTTCAGTTAATATCCTCTCCCCCCCTCCCCTTTTCTTTGACTTATAAGGGAACCATAAAGGCAAGGAGTTTTGTCTTGATTACTAATTTAAATACTACTGTTAATAATCCTTACTGTAGCAGATGTGTGCAGCATGTAACTGTTTGCCAAAAATAAATCTATTTTGGAATATATTCTAAGACTTTGGAGCTCAGTTGCGTTTTTTTTTAGGGATCTTTATCATTGGATTGTAATTCTAATTTTGTGTTCGATTTCATGCAGGCAGATGTTAACTTCTAATTTTGTTGCTGTCTCAAATCACAGGAAGAAGGCATGGTTGAGATAAATTATTTTCCTTCTGAAGGCTTGATTGACTTAATGTACTTCCCATACTATGGGAAAAGCTTGCACGTAAGTATGCCTTGGTCTTCATTTTGTAAATGTTTTGTTTCTGTTTACAATTACTAAGATCAGATTGATTCTGAAGTTTGAACTGTATAATGAGGTAATCATACAGAATATTACATATGCAGAAATTTCACAGTGCTTGATGAGATCAGAGATATGCTTTAGCAGACATGGGGAAATAAACTGGGCATTGTCCTAATGAAGAAGAGGCATCTAGCAGTGTTAAGGGCATCTGCTGCTTTATGGTCACAGATGCCTTTTGGAATCTTGTTGAATGAGGGGAAAGGCAGGAAAAGTGACCTGGTTCTTCAGATTACAATACAGTTTCTAATTAGTTAATCCTTGGGGTTTATGTATAGGAGATTAAGTTTATAATTCATTATGGTCTTGTTGGTTATATTTCTTCGTGGCACTGTGGTCATGTTTTACATTTGCTCTGCTTTATGAAGAAGCACTTCAAGCTAGCAGATCTTTTTATTATTGTTAATTTAAAAAAAATTCTTATATTTGTTTTTCTTTGCTTGCTCCATCTATCCTCATTGTATTCTGACATAAATTTTATTTATCTAACTGAAGAACCCTTAAGTTTTAAGAAACCCCAAAGCTCACTACTTTATGGGCACAGAATATGTAGAGTTAAAATTCCATTTTATTTTCAAACTTGAATTTAGGTTTTTTATTTTCTTTCATCTGTTTGTGATTGCATACAGAAAATCCATGCCTTATATGAAATATAAAATTATATTGCCTCTTACTTGAATTTAGGTTTTTTATTTTCTTTCATCAGTTTGTGATTACATACAGAAAATCCATGCCTTCTATGAAATATAAAATTATATTGCCTCTTATTGACAAAGTTACTTAGCCTAATAAACATCTTCACTGTTCACCATTGAAGATAAAAGTACTTTTTAAACATGAATCTGTTAGATCTGCAGTATATCATAGTGGTTGTTTGTAATTTCCACAAAGTGATTTTTTACTAAATTATTCCTTTATCAGTGTTTTTTTTCCAAGTCTACTCTATACTTGGAGCAGTTTGCGTAACCTTTTTGTATTCTCACATGGCTTTTATTAAGAGGGAGATTGTTTTTCTTCAGCATTTGCTTTCATGTTATTCTCACATGGCTTTTATTAAGAGGGAGTTTGTTTTTCTTGAGCATTTGCTTTCATGCTACTTAGGTGTAGTTCTGTGTTTTCAGTTTTGTTGCAAGACTTCTTGAATTGGTAAACCATCCATTTTCTTAGACATAAAAGATTAAAGAAAGACTGTCAACCTGTGCTTCCAACAGGCAGAGTCAG